ATAATTTGTGTTAAATTAATCTAGTTTTAATTAGGATCGGAATTTGGAGAATTGAATTAACGAAGGATTGGTGTATTTTATCCAATTCTTACGTAATTGGGAATGTGCCATTAAGTCTTGCTATCTTAGCACAATGTTAAAAACAAAACTAAATTATTTGGATATTTAACCAATTTGTTAGTTTGATTGGCCAGAATTTTTGTACCTTATTAAGAGGTCAATAGTTTGAATCTCATCACTTGCGTGTGAGTCTTATTCCCCATGTTAAGTGAAACTTTCTCTCCCACTTTAAGAGTTTCTTTGTAAAAAATTGTATTATATTTGATCTCCATTAGTATGATTGTAATTTATTAAATTTCATTGTAATATCTTATATGAATCAAATCTAATATATATATATATATATATATATTTTCATTATTTTTTTTTTCATAGTTTGAATTATAATGGAAAAATTACATATGAGAGGATTCTTTAAAAGTTGATTACCAAATCATGATAAAGTTCACTCAGTATATTTGGTCTAGTTGTTATGTAACAGTTTTTGTGGTGTGAGGTCTTAAATTTAATTTTTATGAATTTGAGTTTGATAGTTTTTGTGATGGTTTATTTCTCCCTTATTATAGAAGGCTTATGTAATTAGTAGTGGTTGTGTTGGACTTGGGCTAGTTGGTTGATAGGCTTTATTAACTTTTTATTGGCAGTGGTTTTGGTCTAGTCTAAGATCGGATTGGACTGTGTTGTTGGGTCCGTGGGAGCCCACCACGGATCTCGTTTTGATAATTCGAACCGTTCAATATGTAGAACTCGTCGAGTACTATATGTTTGTAAAAAATCGCGTTGATCGGATATCGATAGTTATGTGAACAAAACAGTTTTTTATCAATTGTTAATTGTTTCACCGTCCATTTTTTTTATACAAAACTGATTTGATCACATAGCTATTTATATCCGATCAACGTGATTTTTTTCAGGCGTGTAATACTTGACGAGTTCTACATATTGAACGATTCGTATTATCAAAACGGACCCAAAAAATGGGCCCCATGAGCCGAACTGGACGAATCCAGTCTTGATCTCAACTTAAAACAAGCTGGACGCCTTTTTATTCTACTTATTGTGGACTAGTGAAAAAAAAATCATGATAACATTTATAATTTTACTTTTTAATATTTATAAAATTTCTCATTAATTTAAAATTCTTTTTCCAACTTCCAATTAAATGAAATTTACCCAATTATAATTGTCATTAGAAAGCTAGGATATTTGACTTTTAAAATTTTTATTTTTTGGCACCGACCAAATCGCATTAGATAATCTATAATAAAGTAATTATGAAAAGGAAAGGTCACCTGCCAGCTTTTTCGCCACTGAAAAAGAAACAAAACTCTGCAACTATTCAAAGCACTAGAGAAATGTTTTGATGACGTTTATTAATAAAAATTTTAAAAATTATAAATAAATTTTTCTTTTTTTGTTATCAATTTCATTTTTAAAAATTTGTAAACACAGTTTACAAGATATACAAAATTTTTGTAACCACAAAAAAGTTGATTTTAGTTGTTTGAAAGAAAAAAAAAATTCTCTCGCTCCCTCTATTATCCCACCACTCATCACCATCATTACTAGTAGGACTGTGCAAAATACCGTTAAATCAGCTAAAATCGTACCAATCTGCATTTATCCGTACCGTTCTAACCGCTAACTGCGGTTTAAACTTTAAAATTTATAATCCGCCAACCGAACCGAACCGCTCCGCTCCGCTCCACTATAGTTAATACATATATATTTTTTAACTTTCAATGAAATATCAATGTAAAAATGAGTATGAGAGAGATTTAAAATACGAAATTTATTACAAATTAGTAGTTATATATATGAAACATATTATGTAAAACAATAATGTTTTGTTCCCTAAATCTTTCTTCCCCGAATCCCCCGACTGTCCAAAATGACGTCGTTTTGGATTCTCTTACCGGTAAAATAATTTTCATTAAATAACCCCCTCGTAAAACGAAACTACCGTTTAAAACGACGTCGTTTTGGATTCAGGGTAAATTCGAGCTTGAAAATTTTCGAGCTACGTATCATTACTGTATGTAAAATTACTTTATATTATATATCTAAAAAATATTATACAAATTGGTGTTATATATTATGCAGATGTATGATAATTAGTTAGAATATTCTTTAATCCACCAAAAACTGCTCAAACTGCAATTTGTCAATCCGCCAACCCGCTATTCGATTTGTAAATTTACTTTCAAACCACCCGAACTGCACCGCGCACACCCTTAATTGCTAGTGATCTCCTCTGACCACCACCTCCCATGGTCAATCGGTCCACCGCCAACCACCTCCAGTGACCAACAACACCACCACCACCACCACCACATCCTGCCACCAAAATGCAACCGTAAACAACCACCTTCGGCCACCAATTTTCATTAATGATTTCTGCAACTTATTTTCAAAACAAAATTTTAAAACCCATCTGTACTAAATATGTTTTATTTTTTCAATTTTATCAAAAATAAACATAAACATAACCATAAACATTAATTGTATGTTTGGTAACGTTTACGTTTTCAGTTTATATTTACAAAAATTTTATAAATTGGTTTTTGTTTATTTTTAGAAAAACATAAACTACAAATGCGTTTGGTAATTGACAAAATATTTTAAAAAATTTAAAAATATAAAAAAGAGTGAGAAATGGCAAGTGGTGGCAAGTGGTTCTAACATTTGAGTACAAGTTGAATAATAAAAAAAATGGTTAATTATACTAAATTCCTTTTAACTATGACTCATTGGCACTTTACTTCTTTAATTTTAAAATTCAACAATAAATTGGTATTATCTTGTTACACTTAATACATTTCATCAAGATTTTATTAAAAATTTAAACAAAATGAGGCCATATGTGAAGCCAACACATTTATTAATTTTTTAGGACAATAATGTCATCATTTCATGATCTCATTTGAACTTTATCTCCCTTATCTTAGTGGCAAAATATAAAGAAGATCACCAAATAAAATCATTATTGTCCTAAAAAATAATGTGTCATGTCACTTCATATATAATCTGATTTTGTTTAAGTTCTTAATAGAATCCTTATAAAAGGTATTAATTTAAGAAGATATCCTGTACGGTGATTAACTTTAGTTCTAAAGTTCAAAAGTTCAACGGACAAAGTACAAACGAGTTATAAAAGAAAGAAAATGATTTGAGTTTCACACTTTAAGAAAATAAAAGATTATTGTGGTTTCTCACTTTTTTATTTGGATAAACAATGATTGAAAGAGGACACATATATCCTTTTATTCTATTTGCTTTAGGTCTGTTTGGTAACATTTACGTTTTTAGTTTATATTTAAAAAAAAATTATAAATTGATTTTTGTTTATTTTTAGAAAAACATAAACTTCAAACGCGTTTGGTAATTGACAAAATGTTTAAAAAAATTTAAAAATATAAAAGAGTGAGAAATGACAAGTGGTGGCGGGTGGTGGGTGGAGACGAGTGGTGGCGGCGGAAGACAGTGGTGGAAAATGATGGCGGGTGGTGGCTAGTGTTGGGTGGTAAAAAAAAAAAAACTCAAAACTCAAAACAGAAACACATTTTTTGTGTTTTTATTTTTTGGTCAAATTTATAAATTGAGACCATTGATTTATAAATCAAAAATTTTATTAAATAAGTTTTTATTTGAATTTTTTAAATTTTTATAAATATAAAGAGAAAATTGAAACCGTAAGTATTGCCGTGGATTTTTTTTTTTTTTCAAACCACAACTATGTGTCAGTGTTTGTGTCAATGTTTTATATGAACTCGTAAATGGATATTTATGCGGGCCAGGTGATGGGCCAGCCGCAACAGCAAGTGAGAGAGATCTTTGGTTGGGCCCAATTTTGGTTGGGCCTCCTTGTTTAATATTTCTAGGACAGCTCTTCCAATGGATCTGAACTTTTAAATGTCAGTGTTCCCTCAGAAGTCTCTAAGATTGGGTTTCTCATTGGAACCGTGAACTAGTTGGGTACCTTTTTAGTAAAAAGTTACCCTTTCAATTTGTTAAATTTTGTGGTGAGAGATTCTGAAAAAGTGATGGAGTTCAAGTACTGCTAACTTGATAATGGATTTTTTCATCTTTTAAATTCCAAGAAAAACAAACCGTTGACAAAGGCTTATAACAATGGACCATACCAGCCCCTATTTGGGTGAATTTTAATAATTTTTTACAACTTTGGATGACAAGATGATGTAGTATGAGTGGCCATACAATTCTTGAATCAATGGAATAAACAAGTCAAAAGCAAAAAGCTAGTCGGACTTAGAATCGCATAAAATTTGGTGGATTAATGAAAAATGTGAATTTAAGTATGATCCATGATTTTATCATGATCCCCACTGAATTTTAGACAAATTCCATCATTTGGTGGTCAATTTCGCGAATTTATTGGTTTTGGAAAGATTTCAAACTTCAATAATTTGTCAGTTTTGGAAAGACTTCAAACTTCAATTACTCTTAGCACAGACTTTGGAATCTGATTTTGTAAAATTTGTCATGATCGTGAAAACATATATTAGTAGTTTCTTTATTTTATTACAATATGTTTATTTTTGGTAATTTCCGTTATATTTTCTTATTTCTGTATTGCTCATTACGAATTTGCCAATTTCAGTTGTTTCCTATTTGAGTTAGGTCTATTTTTGCTTATAAATAATAGATGTAAGTATTAGGGCTCTTTAGTTTTTTAGAATTTATATATTTCGAGTTTGTACTCTTTTGTTCTAATTTTAGATATTTTTTTGTGAATCAACGAGTCTAAAAAAAAATCTTACTTCTGATATTCTTGTTTGAATCAACAAATTTTAATATTGTTATTATTTTACGTTTCACATTGCAACACAAAATGATTGAGATTTGTTGCTAGCAATATTGTGAAACCATTATATATGCATCCACTTAATCTAAGTGTGACATCCCCTAAGAAATTGGTATTTTCGTAATAAGTTTTCTATTGTTATGGCAAATTGGTACAATCCCGAATTCTAATGAGAAATTGGCGGGAGCTTCTATTTACACACACACAACACACTTTCTACACATCTCCCCTCTCTACACTTCCCACACACCTCCTTCATTAAGTGTGTGTGGAGAGAGGATTTAGTGTGTGTAAAAAGAAGCTCCCGAAATTGGCTTTATGAGAAGAACAAAATTTGCCAATAATATTAAATTGAATTTTCTTAAAAATTTGTGACTACTGCTCACAATTTAATACAATTTAAAATTTGACTTCATTTCTCAATATCGTTCTCTCTAATGTCCGATTCTCCACCCCATTGTTTTATTCGATTCCCAGCAATAGAAGCCTGCAAAGATACCAAATTACGGTCACACTTTATTAATTGAAATAAGAATATTTTTTTTTATTTTTTTTTTTTAAGTTTGAATTTAAACTTACCTCTTTATTCCAATTGGTTCGGTAAATCATCCAAAACAGGACACAAGTTTGTACTATTGTTCCTGACATCATTCCATACCAAATCCCCTATAAAAATAAAAAATAAAAAGATAAAAACACAAAATTAAATCTCAATTAAGAATTCTATTAGAATTATCAGTTCTAATAAAGTATTTGATATATCCTTGGTCTGAGGCATTATCAAGCATATGCACCAGTTGAAAAGCACAAGTTATAATGTGTCATACATCATACCTTTTGTAATGTATAGAGAAATTTGTAGCTTTAAAAACCATATATCAATTAGGCCCAACCATTACTTTGAGTTGGACATTCTTTTGCCTAGGGTTTATTTGGTGCAAGTGATGTAATTTATTAATTAGACGAGTCCCTATTTTCTGTTTTTTTTTCTATTTCCTCTCCAAATTCAAAATTGAAATATAATTTAAAGTGATTTATAAAGGGTAGAGAATATACAATACCTTGACACCCATGTCGAGTTTGTAACCCAAAATGAGACCCAAAGGAATACCAAATATATAGTAGCATGCAATATTCACATAGGCAACAACAGCTTGCCATCCTGCTCCAATGGCCACCCCTGCAAACAACAACAACAACATCATCATCACTCTCTATAATAGTCTTATTTAAGCTCAAACGAAAAAACCAAAAAAAAAACAAAAAAACACACTAAACTGAAAGTGAATCATTGGAACAATCATTAGCAATAGGTAGAATAACAACACAGTACGAAAAATGATATTTGTACAACACCTTTATACAAAAATTATCACCAGAATGATGTGCCTGGTGTTTCTATAATTAAATGTCATTTACACAATTTGTCAAGACTTTTGCTCCATATAGAAAGTCATGGTTCAAAATTTAAGGACTATACAAATATTTAAAAGTTTCATTTTGTACTACTTTTTTACGTCACCTCTAAACTTGAGACCAATAATTATGTGATTTATATGAGACATGGACTACATAAATATTCAGATATTAGTCGCGGTGTCAAAAACCAAAAAAATTAAGGGGGGTTACCTGAGAGAACAGGTTGAACATTGTTGATAACAATGCAAGCAGCCAACAAGGGAGTGAGCTCATAAACAAGTTCTTTCACATCAGTACTGTCTGTAAACAAGGATGGATACTCCTTCCTAGTGAGGATGAGAATGAGTGAGAGCACAACACCAATCGCAAATGAATTTAACACCACCACCACCACTGCAAATTTTGCCGTTCTTGGATGCGCTGCCCCGAGTTCATTTGACACCCTTACACTGCTCAAAATTTAATTATAACAACAGTATGAGGAAAAAAAATAAAAATTTCTTAATTTTAGTTGATCTCTTTGATTAAAAAATATTTTTAAAAAATGCATTTAAACTGATGTTCAGAAGACAAACCTTATGGCCGCATTGCATCCCAGAGCTACCATGACTGTCCACCCTAATATGTTCATGCTGCAAATGCAACAATCCATAATTATTAAAATAATAATGGAAGACTTGGTAGTAGTAATTTTTGCTATCATTGTACACCAAGCAATGCAATGAAAAATTAAATGTAAAATCATGATAATAGTATGAGAATGAATAAGTACACGTAATTTTTTTTCACAGGATTAATCATAAAATCTTAATTGAGTCAATCATAGAGACATAGGAGAGTGGAATCCACATGTGTGGACTCTTTACGTGGATCTCACCTTTTGTCTCTTCTATAATTGATTCTATAAAACAAAATTAAGTGGTTGTAGAACATAATTTTAAAATTATAGTACTATTTTACTAATCTTATAAGGTGAAATCTATGATATACATCCTTAAAGACAATCACATCATAAGAAATTTTACAGCTGTACTGTTAGTTATTTCATTTTATGATAAAAGTTTTGAGCGAATTTATAGTATGAACTACTGAAGTGAAAGTTATAGACTATTGTGATTCTATAATGAACCATTTTAGTGAGATGTGTTTATTTGTAAGTGTATTGCAAAATTCAAATACTCACTCTGTCCCATTTTGTTGGTCCACCTTTCCATTTTAGTCTGTCCCAAACTGTTTGTCTACTTTCTATTTTGGGATACTAAATTTTATTAGATTTTCAAAATTACCCCGTATAAATCATTATAATAACATTTTAAAATTCAAATAAAATGGCAATGATGGAAAAAATATTTTATAATTTAAATTAAAATGTAATAATTGCAAGTCGTTTTCTATAATGGACAAATAAGTTGAAAGGATGGGAGTAACATAATTAGTAACCCCAATAAGATGAATTTTTTATTAGTTTTTTTTGTAAACATTCTATACTCATTTTGTTATATTCTATCCTATATGGTTGACCAAGAGGGTATGTGGCCCAAAATTATGAGTAATGTGTGTAAGTGATGATGTAATGGGTTGTCCAAATTATATTAACCCATCCTAATACAAACAAAAATGACTATATATCTATGTTTGTGGTCATAGTTATTTTAGGTCCACACGAAAACCTCTAAAATTGGACAGACGAAATCGAACTTGTCATACTTTGTCACATGCAAAACACAAATACGAAAGCTACCATATTGCATAAAAATATAATAAAAATATGTGTACAAAATTAGTACATAGAAAATTATTTTTAATTTTTTTTAACGGTCCAGATTCAATCCATGTATTGTGGAATGAATCTTGATCGCCTAATCAATTTTATTGATATATTTCTATGTTTCAATTATGTGTAAGTATCATTGATTATAAAGATATGTGCACAAAATTAGTGTATAGAAATTATTAAAAAAATAAAATTGAATGGTCCGGATTCAATTTATGTATTATAAATTTATATTTAGAATGAATTTTGACCACCTAATCAATTTTATTGATATATTACTGCGTTTCAATTGTGTATAATAAAAATAAGAAGCATTGATTAAGTGTTGGGGGAGACCTTTCCTTGGTTGGCTTACTAAATGACAGACGCATCGCCAACTCAAAATGGTTACGTTGCCATTAAATCTTTATTTGTCAACAATTAAGATTTTAGATTTTCTTTCACCAAATTTTCTATACCTCTATGGTTAATATATTCTTAATCATTATCGTATGGTGTAATGAGAATTTTAAAATATAATTATACGATTTGAAATGTAATAATAAAATGTTATAATAATTTGAGAAGAAATGATCTTGTGCAAACAATAAACATGTTAGAAAAATTACATTTATAGTTTGTCTCTTTTATCAATTTAGTTCTTATCATTCTAATTATATCAATTTTATAGTTGAATTTCTAACTATATGTCAATTTATTATAATGAATAACATTCTTTTAACATTTTGACTAAAATCAATGGCAAAATAATTCATTCAATTTCCTCATTCATGGATTTATCTCTCATTTGAAATGGTCTATTTCCCTTTGAATGGATCATTTTTTGATTTATATCCAATGTCTTAACAAATGTTATCAATTGTACCAAGTTGACACAATGAGAAAAATTAAAAAAATAAAATTGATATAATTAAAACTATATAAATTAAATTGACATAAGAATGAAATTATAATATAATGGGTGAAATATTATAGCACTTACCATATTGATAAAGCATCCACTGAAATTTCTGCATTCTTCAAGTATCCGGCGAAGAGGATTAATGCCATGAAATACCACACTTCTAAGCTGCATTTGTGAATTCAATAAAAATTATAACCAAATTGTTGGCTAGGCCAAAAGATAATTAAATATATATATTTTATGAATTAAATAAGAGAGAACATTTTTTTATATATGCAAAATAGCCCTTTCTTTTAACATTTCTTATCGTTGTCCTATGCTTACATATTTCCAAATTTGATCATTATAGTGAAAAAAAAAAAATATATATATATATATATATTCTCAATCAATAGGAGTATTTATAAGGGGAAATTATACTGCCACCATGTCAATGAAAAACATTTACAAACAAGTGGAAAATATTATAAATATTAATAATTAAAATCATAAACTTTTTTATTTTTTTGTAAAATAATTTTTGCTACTCCACTTATAGGTTATTTTCCTTATTTATAAATATAAAGCATATTACATCAAACTGATCACTAGTGTATCTAGAGGCCCCGTTTGTTTTCAGAGATAGAGGGGATTCATAGTAAGGGGATTAATAGTGAAGGGATTGTTAATGAGGGGATTGATAGTAAGGGGATTAATAGTGAGGAATTGTTAAATTATTTTTATATAAAATAATAAAACAAATAAAAAAATATAAAAAAATTAAACATTATATTTAAAAAAAAATTCCCAATATATAAAAAATAAAAAAAATAAAAACATTTCTAATCCCCTCACTATTTTTCTAATACTATCTCTACCTCCTCCTTACCAATCTCCCTTCCTCCTCCTTATTAATACCAATGGATTACTAATCGCCTCCCTATCTCTCAAAACAAATACCTCATTCTCAATCCTCTCCTCACAACTAAACCCAATCCCCTCCCTATAACTCTAAACAAACGGGCCCAGAGAGTTAACAATCACCAAGTCCAATAACCATTAGGTGTTGTTTGTTTGAAGAAATTGGAAGGTCGGATAGGATTAGAGGGTTGAATAAGCGTTGTTTGGTTTTCCAATATTGCTCCGGGGGACTATCAGTCCCAAATGTGTTGGACTATTGTATCCCATGGGAGGAGGGGTGGGACACAAATGGAGGGATAAAAAGGGATATGGAATTAGATGGTGAAATAATTATTTTGACCATCTACTATTTAATTATGTATTATATTTAGTAAAATTTAATAAAATTTAAATGTCTCAAGTTAAAAATAAAATAATTTTATTTAATTTTTATTGATGTTTTATATATTTAATTTTTTTTAAAATAATTTTTTTATAGATATTTTATTGATGTTTTATTTTAAAATTTTGTTTATATTTTTTTTAATTTCATTATTTAAATTTTAGTAGATGTTTTATTTAATTATTATTATTTTTAAAATAAATTTATTTAAGTTTTAATTAAAGAAATAACATATATTTTTATTAATATTTTATTAATTTAATTTTTAAAAATAAATTTATTTAATTGTGTAAAAAATAAAATAAAATAAATTTTTATTTAATCTAATTAGAAATAATTAAAATATTAAAGATATGTTTAATATTTCTATTACTTAATAAATAATTGAAAAGAGTAAAATAGTTATTTGATCATTGATCCTATTCCATAATGTTCTAAACAAGTATAGGATTTATATCATATCCAATCAATAGTAATTTCTTGATATCTAATCTAATGACTAAATAAACGTATGATATATATTCTATCTAACCAAATAGTCTCATGACTATAAATCCTACAATTACAATCTGATGAATTTTAATCCCTCCTATCCAATCGATCTAAACAAAGAACTCAAGCTTGAAAAAAAAATAAAATGTATACAATCCCAGTAATAGGAGATAAATAACAACAATTATTCATCCCACTAAAAATATCACCACTAATAGCACTAATGCATTAAAAAAGTAAAAAAAAAAAAAAAACACAACTTCAAGACCAAAACATCACATTATTAATGACGAGACCCACTGTCACCTAATTAGTGGGAGCACTAATTAGTGCTCCCAAGCATTTTTTCGATAAATAAACACAAGTGTCAAACTTCTCTCTATTGACCCTACAACTTGATACCACAAAGTGGTCCTACACAACCGTCACATATATCTTTCATACTCCCTCCGTCCCATAATATTAGTCCCTTATTCTATTTTTCATTGTCCCAAAATATTAGTCCCTCTTCAAAAATCAAGTACAAAAATAATATAAATTTCCTATTTTGCCCTTCTTTTAAATTTATAAATAATATAAAAAGTACAATTATGACATTGATATTCTCAAAAAAGTGTACTATCAAAGGGTAATTTTGGAAAACCCACTTTTTAAAAGTACAATAATTGTACTACCAAAAAAAGTTAGATTCCCCAAAAGGGACTATTATTTTGGGACGGAGGGAGTAATAATTTGTACTGAAGAAAAACAATGAAGTGACACTCAATTCTTTGTCATCGTACAAATATCCCATTCTAGAGAATGAAACTGAAACAATTTGACAGTTGAGGAGGGGTTTAAACGTGTAGGTTTAAATTGAGAGTAGAGTGACATCCGGTAATAATTGAGGGGATAAAATGTAATTTAAAAAAAAAAAAAAAAAAAAAGTGAAGAACAACAACATAATTCAAAGGGAGTAATGATATAGAAATAAAAATTTCCTACATAATTTTAATTTTTATATAATATAATTCAATATAAATTTTTTATTTTAAAACAAAAATCAACAAATATGATAATAAATTACAAAATTGTTACTGCCACCATTTAATTTGAATTACATTATTAAATAGTTTACTTTGATATTGCCACACTATTTATATAATATATAATATATGTATGAATAGAGGCAAATTGGATTAGAACGCAAGGCCATTAGCTCAGCCAGATTGGGCTCGAGACAAGAACCAGAACATGTGATAAAAGATTCATGTCACACCCCATCCCCATCCCCATCCCCATCCCCATCATTTCCCTTGGGATAAGCACCACAAAAAAGATCTGACCCACACAAAACAAAAACAACCAAACACTTCCAAAAACAAAGTATATACATATATATATATATATATATAAATTGTTCTACTTTTCTTTTCCTTTCTTCTCCCCCTTTTTTTTTAAGTTATCATGTTTATGTTTATGTTTTGTTTTTTTTTGGACAATTCGTTTACATTACATTTTCAAATAAGTTAGGGAACCAAAAAAATTCAAAAAAACACTAGATTCATTTAGGATAAATTATAAATACACTTCCTGATATTTGTTTAAAATACAAATTGTTTCATGTGATTTGAAAAATTACAAATACCCCCTTATTAAATTTTTTTATTTAACAGAATTAACTAAAAGAATGAAATTCATAATGTTTTCCTATACAATAATAAAATTATCTAAACTATTACTTGAAACATATTTTTAATATCATTAAAAACTTTTAATTGACTTGATGATTGATTAATAAAAAAATAATTTGTTATGAAATTAAGAACCTTAAAAGGTGAAATGTAATTTTTAAAATCACAAAAGACAATTTATATTTTAATTAAATCTCATAGTGTATAAATAATTTATCCATTCATTTAAGTATGAGTCCTATTGTAGACATGTCAAATCTAAAAAACATCACTTTACTATATATATATTTTTTCTTATAAATTATTGACTTTTCTAGTTTGACATTACATATTTATTTATTGTGCTAAGGTATTGGAAAATTTACCCATAAGTCCTAGTTTCTGAAAAGTTGAACCATTTAGTCCTAAAAGTTTTCTTATGCTCCATTTAGTCCCATTTGCACATCAATCTAATGTTCGAAACATTAATCTGATGTTTGAAACATTGTAATGGGACCTTTCAGTCTATAAGAAAACTTTTAGGACTAAACAGTGTATAAGTTATTAATTTGGGATTTACTGGTACATTCCCCTTAATTTTTTTGGTAATTGTACATCATTTTTCTTGGTAATGTCAGGTGGAGATTAATTCATACAAAATGTGTATAGTATAAAAATAAAAATAAAGATAAATTTCTTGGTAATGTGAGGTGGAATTTAATCCAAACGAATGTGTATAGTTACTAAATAAAATTTTAAAAAATGTTAATTATACTACCTCTTCAAATATCACTAAATATTAATTCATCAACTTTAAACCGTATATTTAGACTGATCAACTATCAAAAGTGCTTCAATTTCACTACTTCAAAAGAGGAACGTTTCACAGTAATAGAGAAGTCTAGATATATGATTTTAAAATTCAACAGTAAAGTTATAATTAGTAATAATAGAAAAAATAAAATATAATTAATTTAAAATATTATTTTAACTAATTAAAAAAATTAATCCGTATTTGTTGTATTCTCTAATCATACGCTCTATGTTCTTTGTACCAGATAATTTTTTTTTTTTTTGGGTCTCAAATGAACTCTTCTACAACAATATGATTAGATTAGAAACTTTTATTTTTTGGTACGTAGACTAGAAACTTGTTATGTGGCAGAGAAGTGGTTCAAAAGTATTGCGTACAAAGAAATTGTCAAGGAAAATTCATTAGGTGGACTCATCTAGACAACCTAGCCTTGTCAAAGTTTTCCATTTAACTTTATAATTGATTTTTGTGCACGTGATAAAATAAGAGAGGCGCAGTTGTTTTCCTACTCAAAACAACCTTTATTAATAAAATAAATAAATAAATAACTAATTATAATTGATTTTTGTGCACGTGATAAAATAAGAGAGGCGCAGTTGTTTTCCTACTCAAAACAACCTTTATTAATAAAATAAATAAATAAATAACCATGTATTAATGAATAATATTATAATATTTATCTTTTTTTATCACATTTTTTTTTATTATTTAATTTGTAATTGGAACCAATGTTAGTGGTAAGACTTGTTAAATCAAGGCAATAATTTCTCTCCGGTGCAATCAGAGACTGTTTGCTCTAGTTTTTGTTGTTTTTGATGTTGACATGGTTTTTTCTTTATCTATGGGCAATGAGTTTCGATGTATTGAAATATTTGTATTTATAGAAGTTTTAATTTTCGTGCTCATCTTTATTATTGGTTTAGTTTATGCATGGCGAAAAGGGGAGGTCCAGTTGTGCCCGATTCGATTATATGAATTATTTATTTTGTTGTGATGTTAAACGTATTATTTGTACTAAAATTTAGATCGATCAGATATCAATAGTTACTTAATTAGATCATTTTTAGACAAATATAATTATACTAAGTAGATATCGATACGCAATCGACTTGATTTTAATATAAAAAATATAATCAACAAACTTTACAAAATAAATTATTTAAATTATCATGGTAGGTCTAATGTGGATTCACAAGGGGCCAAACTGAACATTGGACATCTCCCTATGAGCTGCTCTCTTAAATCAATTCAACAAATGTAAATGAAAAAGAATTTAAATATATACCATTCGATCACAGAATCATACCCATTTAAGAGAAAAGTTATATATAATCTAAATTTTTATCTCATTTTTTCAATCTAAGACACAAAGAAATGGACATGATATTTGTATATGTACATAGGATTTATTCACTTTATCTATAAAAGTAGATTTTAAAAAAATATAATTATATAAAATATAATATAATTATATAAAATATTTTCTTTAAATATATACGTTACCTCTCATATGAAAGATTTGTGTTAAATTTTACGATCAAATTTTGTGCACGTAAAATAATTGTAAGGAGTAGGAGATGTCTCACCAAAGCATTACAGCTGAAGCAAGTGATAACTTGACGAAGCCCCAAAGATTCTCAAAAGCCTTCCGAGAAAAACCAGTCCAAGCTCGGCCACAAGTCCCACAAAAGATATAAACAAGTTGGGCCACCACTATAAACCACCACGAGAAGTTCAAAACAATGGCGGCACCGACAAGTCCCCAACCCAATTTAAGCATAAAAAGCCAACTAAACACAGTATGCAAAATAAAGACCACGGCGGCGATCACCGCCATGGCCATGATTTTGCTCTGCGCCTGCAGAAATTTGGCGGTCGGGAAATTGACCGCGTAGGCGTAGAGTTGGGGAATCATCCAGACCGCGAAAGTGCCGGCGGCTTCGGAGATTTCGGTGGTTTGGCCGATGAGTTTGAGGAGAGGGGTGGCGAATATGTAAAGAAACATGAGGACGAAGGCTGTGGAGTTGAGTATGACCCATGATCTCTGCATGTATACTCCCAACATGTCTATTTGTCCTGCTCCGAATGCTTGCCCACATAGTGTTTCTAGTGCACTTCCCATTCCCAGCTGTTGGGAAATTGAAATTCATGAGTAAAAATAAAAATAGGTAATTGTTCTTACATTTTCTATAATTAAAAAAAGAGAAAAGTTAGGGATCATGAAATTTTTTTCATAAAAATGATCATGAAAGAGTTATGATTTTTGAATTACCTTAATTAGTGTGTGGTACTTTATTCTAAATGTAATCTAAGGGTCACAAAATTTTTATAATTATTTTTATAAAAAAAATTTCATGATGCCTACCTGTTAAGAAAAATAGTTTAATTGTGACGAAAATTAGCGTCTGAGGTGCAATGACATTGGTGAGTCATGTTATGGAGCTTTATCTATTGTGCTTTGATCTGTCCACTTTTATCCACAAAAAAAAAAAAAGAAAAGAAAATCATTTAGAATTTTAAACTCGGTAATATGTAAAAAATAATGATTGATTAATTATTGGAAAAAATATAAGAGAGATAGAGTTATTTTAGATATTTTAATAGAATTCCCCATCCTATTGAGTTTGAAAATTGGGTATAATTTTTTATTACACTAATCAGTGTGTTTGATTTGAATTTTTTGGGTTAAATTTTTTAAAAATTGAGTTTTTTTATTTTTTGTATTTTTCGTTTTTAGTAAATATTTTTAAAATTTTAAACATTTTTTTTTACTTTTTTAGATGCACCTTACTTAGATGTATCTAAAAAGTAAAAAATTTATAAAAAAATATTTTAGAAAATTAACAAATACATAAAAATATGAAAAATATACTAAATTTTTGTATTTTTTATATTTTTGGTATTTATTGAATTTCTAAAAGATATTTTCACAAAAATTATGCTTTTTATGTGTATTTATGTTAAATGTGTCTAAAAATTAAAAAAAAATTACTTAAAATATTAAAAAAATTCAATAAAAACATAAAAATATGAAAAATAAAAAAATAGAATTTTCTAAAAACTGTATTCAGAAAAACGAAACCAAACAAACTAAATACTACTCAAAAATTAAAAAATAATAATAATAAAAACATTTTTGTGACTCATAAATGAAACACCTACCCGCGGATCTTCATAGACCAAGTACTACGAGACATATGCCACTAATGAATGTGAATCTAGTACGAGACATATGTCATTAATGAATGTGAATAATATTACAACTATAACTGTAAATAAAAACAGAAGAATTGGGCTCAAAAACAAGAATCCAAACAAGGAAAATTACTAAGAAAAACTAATTTAAATTTGTTTACGCAATATGGATAATACACATACTTGATTGGTTCATTTTGAGCTTTTGGTGGGGTCGCTTCATTAGTTCAACTAATGAGGTGTAGTATATTGCTCACATTTATATGAATAAATTTTTTACATATTCTTTTTTTTGATAATAATAACAAATTTGTATTTAAAAAATAATATGTAATCCAGATTTATTTCAAGTTTAGATCCTATGCTGTAAGCATTAAATATAAATCGCACACTATTTTTTGTTGGTAGTTTAATATGTCTACCTTTTTGATGTCAAGTGCTACACAAAACAAAAGGTGAAGTAAAGTTTAATAAAAATTTGGAATGGTATGCGTACTTCAAAATAAAAATAAAAAATAAAAACCCAATAAAGTCATGGCTGTTATATATTTATGATTAATTTCAATGTAAAGAAAAATCATTAAATAAATATTTAATAATTAAAAAAATTATCAAAAAATTAAATGAAACGTACATACAGATCAAAACTGTTTTCACATCTGATTCGTAAATCATAAACTTCATTCGCCAAAATTTATTGTATGTCATGATTGCTTCATGATATATACTTTTTTTAGTAACCTTTTCTATGGATCTATCTATACTATACTAGGTGTTAACACAAAATGTTTTATATTATGAATTTTTTAAAATTATTCCTATAATTAATATTTATATAAAAATTAAGAAGAGGACAATATTTAAAATCAAAATTATTAATTAGTCAAATAAAAGCTTTTAGTTATTTTTATCTTTATACTAGAACGTTTTTTTACAGGTGAGAAGCGCTAGTATATATATAGATATTTTAGTGAAGAAGAGTACCATGACGCCGAAAGAGAAACCGGCGATGACGGAGTTTTCGATAGAGACGGCGGCGAGGTCAAGAGTTCCGACATGGCCAGCGAAGGTTTGAGTGATAGCTCCGAGAGAGTACTGACAAATAGATGTGAAGATAGCCGGACCGGCCAGGTACCACAGTTTTTTCGACTCCACCAACGTTTCTCTGAAGAAATCTCGTACTCCGGTGATCGGCGCTATGTCGTCGGCATCGGCAACGAAGGATGAGAAAGAAGAAGTGTTTGGCCTCAGACTTTGCTCTTCTTCTCTTAGAGATAGCAATGGCTGATTATCATTCTCCATCTTTGATGGATAGAGAAATCCAGAGAGAGAGAGAGAGAGAGAGAGAGAGAGTGAGTGAGAGATACAGAGACAGAGAGACTGCGGTTTGCTCTTGTATTTAAGGAACAGTCATACTGATTCGGTCTTGATTCGGTCTTAAAATGGTGTGTGAAGTGTTTGGCCTCAGACTTTGCTCTTCTTCTCTTAGAGATAGCAATGGCTGATTATCATTCTCCATCTTTGATGGATAGAGAAATCCAGAGAGAGAGAGAGAGAGAGAGAGAGAGAGAGAGAGAGAGTGAGTGAGACATACAGAGACAGAGAGACTGCGGTTTGCTCTTGTATTTAAGGAACAGTCATACTGATTCGGTCTTAAAATGGTGTGTACAATATAAATTATGATGTGTCATAATTAAATTATTTTTAATTATAATTTAAAAAAATGAGTTGTAATCAAATATATATAATTGGAGTAAATTATAAATATATTTTTTGAAATTTGATTAAAATACGAATTGTGTTCTATGATTCTGAAAATTATATTCAATCTCCTAAGATAAAATATTATTTCATAACAAATTACATTTTTTATTAATAAATCATCAAGTCAATTAACAGTTTTTTATGATATTAGAAATATGTTTTAATTAATAATTTAAGTAATTTTATTATGTATAGGAAAACAATTATGAATTTTATTTTTTTAATTAATTTTGTTAAATAAAAAATTTTAACAATAGGATATTTGTAATTTTCTAAATCACATAAAACAATTTGTACTTTAAACAAATCTCAAAGAGTGTATTTGTATATAATTAAAATTATTTTTAATCATAACTAAAATAATAATCTCAATAAATCACATCTAACAGTATAATAAATCATAATTAAATCATAACTAATATTAAAATAAATCATAATTAAAGATCATAAATATAACATTTGATATAATGTGTATTATAAAATTTCTTTTTAAAGGAAATGATTTTTTTTGAAAAAGGTAAAGAAAATGATTTGGGGGTTATATGTGTGCGTGTGCACGAGCGCGTGGAGCTTGGCCTGACTTGGATTGTAGCACAATGTTGAACATGCAGGGACCTTGAAATTTCAATTGAAAGTTCAAAGAAAAATTAAAATAAAATTAATTGTAGGCTTGATGACTCATGAGGAACATTTTTACACATTCCGATGTAAAAAAAAAAAAAAAATAAAATAAAATAAAATAAAATAGGAACATTTTTACGGTATGCTTATGAGGGGGAAAAAAATGTTAATATAAAATAATTTTATATAGAACCCGCACGCTCACTAATATTTATTTGAGTGTATAAACGAGTGTAATTGTAGAATGAACTATAATGCATGGAGATGAATTTTCTTTAACATAAATCTTCGTTACATTATCAATTATTGGGAAAGTGTTACGTCAGCATTTTTTAATTTTTTTTTTTTTTTTTGGAGGGTAGAGGGAAGGCCCCCTTATAAAGCAGGAACTTCATTCAACAAAATATGCACTAAATTGGCAGGGACCTCAGCAAGCCACAACCGCTTGTCTGGAGCTTCCTTTGCCATTTGTGCCAAATGATGAGCCATAAGATTGCCATTTCGCCTCACATGCGAGACACAAAAATATGAGAATTGCTTGGTATAGGAAATGGTACATTGTAAAAAATGACCAAACGAAGCACATAGATTGCTCTCTTCTCAGATAGCCTTCACCACAGTCAAAGAGTCACCTTCCAGATGAATATTGGTTAGCCCCAACTCTATTGCAAACTCCAGCGCCCTGACAGCCGCAATGGCTTCAATACAATCAGCCTCCATCCATGTCGGAATTTGTTCCGATAAAGCAGCTATCGGCTCACCACGCTGATCACGAATGAGGACTCCCACACCACATAACTGCTGTGTTTTGAAAGTGGCCCCGTCAAAATTCACCTTAACAAAACCCCTTGCCGGCGGACTCCACCTCTCCATCCCACAGTCGACTGGAAGCCTATACATATTGGATTGTGCCTGCCTAAAGTCTTGCAGCAAAACACACACCATTTGAACAGTGAAAACCGCCGAGCGAGCAACATTATTGAATATGGCAGAATTTCGAGAGGACCACACTGTCACAATCCAAACTCGCCCCTATAGGTTTAGCATCGTAACTGGCCAGTAATCCTTGGATTACCGATGGCCTCTGAACATATTAACAAAATTAAGGGGCTAGTGAAAGAAAATATATAAAAATAATTGTCCAATGAGCTGTGCTGACTTATATGAAACGGGATATTTAAAACTTTATATATGTATTCAATAGTCATTCATACATTATACCCACACACATAATAGCATCTTAAGTGCAGCCAATGAAAATAACTAATATCTGATACACAAAACAAACGGAACTTCATAATACACGACATTTCAGGAACCTCCACGTGAGGCACGATGGTTGGCTGACAACGGAACAAGGGTCCAACAAAAGCCTTCAGGCTTGATCTCCAGAATGCTCACCTATACAAATATATACACACAGTGAGCTAAAGCCCAGTGAACAATATTAAGGTAAAGAGGTTAGTAAACGAATTCTGAACATATCATAGGCGTAAAACAGATCTTAGCATAATCATTCTTGTATCTGAACATAATAATGGTACATCTCATAGAACATATCACATAACGTCTTCCGACTAAAGTAATCGGTTCTGGATACCGATTAAACACATATCACCACAATGAAGTGGCAAACGAGATCTCGTAATCACATGTATGTCATGAACCCTCATTTACATGTCATCCCCCATGACTTGGGACTATCTATGGATGCTATAATAGATTTCAAACATGGAACATTCGTTCACGAAAACAGATATCATTTTCGAAATCATAACTTATCATATTTCATTTGAAACATAATTCATATGAACGTATCTTTACAATAACGTTACTCACAGTGGTTCCCGTAAATGGTCAATCAATCCTCGAGTCTTGACCTACAATCACAAAATACATAACACAAGCATATCTTATCATTACATATTCAAGTGGCCATCACGGGTTAACTTACATCACATTGGTTCTTATTCTTTCTTATCACATTGCTCAAAACACATACACTTGCATTCTTTTAACTTAGTATATTCTTTACTTAGTGTGTTTCTAACCCATACCTCATTACTATGGCTTAACTAGGTCTTAGAAATGCCTAAGATGCAATGAGGATGCCAAAACATGAGTTGGAACACTTAGTCAAATTTCTAAAAACAGGGTCTCCGCTCGAGCGTAGATTTCCTCGCTCGAGCGGACATACAAACATGAGAGGGGTCGCTTGAGCGCAGATTCCTTCATTCGAGTGATCTGCAAAAACATGAGACTTCTGAGAGCTTGCATTTCACGCTCAAGCGAACTCATGGTCGCTCGAGCAGAAGTGCACGCACTCAGAGCAGTCGCTCGAGCGTGAACGTCTACGCTCGAATGTAGATGCAGAATCTGGAATTTCTAGATTGCACCTCCAAACTCAAAACTCGAATTCAACTCATCAAAACACATCTCTTGGGCCCCAAAACTTGAGATAACCTAGTAAACTTGTAAAATATGAAGAATAAAGGATCATTTCATAAAATCATGGCCCAAAAGTTTGCCAAAAGTTCACAATTCATCTTGAAATTCAAGAAACAAAACATGCATGTAAAATCTTTTCTTCAAACCTCATGAAATTAGCAAATTAAGCTCATAAGCTCCATGCATGTAAGAAATGTTTCCCAAAACATGATTTTAAGTGAAGGAACATGATAATTCAAACATGCATGCACTAAATAACCCCCAAAATAATTTAGATGCTCAAAATCAAACTAAAATGACAACCCTCTATATATATGTATACATGCATGTGAAATTATAATCAAATCCTCCATCTTCTTGACCAACATATGTAAATTACATGCAATGACCTAACAACTCCATCAATTCATCTCTACAACACATAACTCTTTGAATTAATAGTCAAAAGCTTACCTAGCGTCTTGAATTACTCTTGTTCTAGCACAATCTTGGTGAATTCAACACAAAACCTTCAATTCTTCTTCAATCTCTTCCTTTCTCTCTCTAGAATTGCACACACACACACACTCTCTCTCTCAATGAGTTCTCAGATTTTTTACACTAAGGGGGTAAAGGAAATGAGCTCAAAATGAGCTTAAGGCTCATACATATAGCTATGATTCTAAAACACATTAATTAGAATATTAGGCTAACCAAACACGACTTAATTAATCAGACTAAATCAATTTCTAATAAAATTTGTCATATGGTTCTAAAAATTCCAAATAACATATTAACGTAATCAGTTTCGTTTTCAGATGCCGATAAGGCTTTCAATTTTCATATTAAAGCGGAATTCTAGACAGATATTTCTACAAGTAACAGATAGAAAGCCAAAATCATGCAAAACACAAAATAAACACATAATTTATTTTAATTCTCTCACTAGCATCATTAACTACGGATTAGCAGCTAAGTACAGGTCGGGGTTGTTACACACACACCCCAACATATGGCGAAAAATAACCCCAATGTGTCCGCATCAGAACTACTCCCAATTTCATATGCCCAACTCATAAAATCAAGACCAACTCCCTTATCAAGCACAAACATTAACGGGCTTTGGTGCCATACCTCCTGCGCCATCGGACATCCCCAGAGACAATGCATTAGCATCTCTGGCTCATCACCACAACGAGGACATGTATCATCCATTATCAAATGCCGATGCCGAAGTACAGATTTGACCGGCAGAATATTGGAGCAGCACTTCCATGCAAATACCTTAATCTTATTGGGGATCCGAAGGCGCCATACCCGCTTCCAAAACCATGTAACATGTTACACATCGGACCCAGACCCGCGCCCCTCCTGTATGCTAAGACTCATTTGCAAATGGTAAGTCGAATGAATCGAAAACAACCCACTTTTTGTATAGTGCCACACTAACATATCAGGTATACCTTGACAGCAAAGAGGAATTTGCTTAATGGCCTCCACGTCCATCTCTATGAAATTTTCATATAGCAGCCGTAAGTTCCAACATTTCCTATCCTGATTAATCAAATCACAGACCAACACAGCCGCTAATGCTTCTGTAGGAGGAGAACAAACTCAAAAAGTGTGAGGCCTAGGCACCCACTTTGCATCCCAAATCTAAACTGAGCGTCCATCCCCAACTCCCCACCGTACTCCTGCTTCCAAAAGCAGCCTAGCATTAAAAATACTTCGCCACGTGAATGATGGGTTCGACCCAACTCCAGCTTGAAGAAAATTTGCAGACGGATAATACTTGGCCTT